GCTAATTTGATGCTAGGTGTATGCATAAATGCTATGGTGTTGTTGTGTAGCAGCGTGGATCATTTTTGGCCAGAATTATGCTTGCAAGAGAAGTTTTTGTTCAAAATTTATATTTTGAAGGATTAAATCCATTAAGTTGGTGTGTAAATAGGATTTGTTCCCTTTGATTCTTGTAATTCTTTGAATTGTATTCAACAAAATTTTGGTTGTTTTTTTTAAACAAACAGGTGAATGGATTATGAGTTTAACGAGTGGTTTACCATGTTAACTCGACTCAACCCTACCCAACACAACTCGTTTAAAACTAAACGGGTTAAACAAGTCGTGTCGTATTATCCGTTTATTAAACAGTTCATGTTCGTATTGAAATTTTTCACCCATTTATTAAACGTGTCGTGTATGGGTTTACATATTTTTTTCCCGTCACCCGTTTAACCCGATATGATTGACACCCCTAGTGCTGAGGATAGCACGAAGCATGATCTACAATGTCAAAACCTGATTAAGTAACAGAAGTAGAAGAAAGAGCACTGCACTCGTAGAAGAGACAAAAGAATTCCTGCGAATATAAGTATGCACAACAGGAAACGTGTAACAGACAAATCATCATCAAAAGAAGATGGCAAATCAGAGTCATCAGACACAATTATATCACCAACATATATATCCTTGGGAGCATCAACTGGGAAGGAATCAATGTAAATGAGATCAAATTTATGCATAGATGAAAAACAAGAGGAAGTTGAAAAGAAAGGAATATGTTCTATAAAGACAACATGGCGAGAGACAAAGTTTGTGGCTAACAATATCATAGCAACGATACATTTTTTTACCCTCACCGTAACCAAGAAATACACTTAAGGCTAATTGAGCAAAAAAGTTAGGTACGTAGAATACTAGGGAGCAAGACAAAGTAAGTATAACCAAAGACATGTAAGGAGAAATAATTAGGAGGCTTACCATACAATTTTTCAAATGGAGAAACACCAGAAGTACGAATAGTGATAATGCAATTAATCAAATAAACTGCAGTAAGAACTGCTTCTAATGTCGAACAAGAATTACTATTTTTCATATTTTATTTTTATTTTCTAGTTTAATTATTTGTTAGGATGCGATTTTAATTAGGAATATTCTAGAGTTATTTGCTACCTAATAGAATTGTTTAAGCCTTTGTCCCTTCGGGGACATCCGATAAAATTGGAACGATACAGCAAAGATTAGCATGACCCTTGCACAAGGATGACACGCACAAATCGAGAAATGATCCAAATTTTTGCCTTCTTAAGGTTAAGGGTTCAAGTCTCCCCCTTCCCAAAAAAAAAATCTTGTCAATTGCCCTAATTCATTAGACATGTGTTTTATTGGTTTAGGTAACTTTATTAAAGTTAGGAATTTGTTTTCTTTTTGGTTAAGCCTTAGGGTTTTGAAACTTCTTATAAATTTTCCTATGTATTATGATTCTATTCAATTGATTGAATAATATATATTCTCTTGTTCTTTTCTTTGTGGATTTAGAGTGTGTGTTGTGTTCTTCGTGTTCCTTTGTTCCTCAGCATCAATTGGTATTAGAGCCTTGAATGACCTGGCATGATTTCTAATCAGCGAAGTCATGACAACTTTCCATGTAATGGTGATTATGTGGAAAGGGCTCTTCCAAGAGCTAACTTCTTTAGTTCTTAGCGCTTGTCCCAACTAGCTTACCATGAGTTCCATGATCCGGTTGCACTTTCAATGTTCGGAATAAACGAGGATCTAGATAGAATAGGTTTTGCAAAAACAATAGGGCTCTTGTTCGACCTATTTCAAGATCTCAATCTTATCCCATGCAGACATCATATTTATGATCTTGATTATATTGATGAAGATGATTCAGGTATGTTTGCCAACTATGACTATGCTAGATATCACTGAAGACTTGATTATGATTCTAGAAATTTATTTATGACAATTAACCTACCCAATTTTGATGGTTACGTTCATAAAGAAGATTTTCAAGATTGGTTGGCCAAAGTAGAACGATTCTTTGATTATCATGAAATTCCTGAAGAGAGAGAAATAGGTTTAATGGCACACAAATTGAAGGGCATGGCTTATTAGTGGTGGGAACATGTGAAATTATCACGTGTAAGTCAACAGAAATTAAGTTCGCTCTTGACAAAAGATGGAACGTTTGTTAAAAGAAAGATTTGCACCTTCATATTATGATGAGGACGAAAGGATACAAGTATGGTGCATATCAATCTATGAGGGAAACTTTTTCAGGTTATAATGATTATTTTGTAACCCAAGTCTCATATCAAAATACGGTTAGTGTGGACTTCACAAATACTTCGTTGGATCAAAAAATTAAAGAGGAAAATAATGAACCTAGTGAGGAGACCGAATATACTTATGGCGATGTTGGGGAGCCTCTTGAAAGTTGTCAACATGAGAAACTTCAAAAGATTACACATATGATATTATGAATTTTGAGGAGAAGAAAAATAACAAAGTTTTGGTTGATTTCCATGAACCACATATTTCCTTGGTTTGCAACAATACTCAAGTTTGTTATGCTCTTGGAGTTCTAGAAAGTAATGAGACTTCTTCTCTTATTGAAAAACAACTGGATGTGTGTGAACATCACATGGATGGAAAGGCTACAAAACCAAAGTCAAGAAGCTTGAGACTGTTTGTCCTAGTGATAAAAATGAGAATGATAAATTTTCCTTTGTTAACAGTTCTCGTAATAAACTTGAAATTCTTGATGAATTTTGTGGAGTTGAGCAGAATGAGAATTTGCAACATGAAAAATCTATTTGTCCACATCTTTTTAGTTTTATTGATTTTCAATTTCTATGTGACCCTGATATTTTTGTGTTGCCAGATGTTCTTCAAGAAATTCTTAAATCCATGCTAAGGTCACCAAAGGATGTTGAATGAGAGATTATTTTATCTGTTCTCGAAGGCGTAACATATCTACGCAAAGGAGTGTTTGAGAAGATAAATTTGAAGTACAAAATGGATGTAGACAAACGACAACACATCAAATTATTTCAAGTCAGGAAACTCCATGACGAGTTTTTTTTAAGAGCGAGTAGGGTCTAATGTAGAACAAGAATTACTATTTTTCATATTTTATTTTTTTTTTTATTTTAATTATTTTTGTTAGGATGAGATTTTTATTAGGAATAATCTAGAGTTATTTGCAACCTAAATCATGTCAATTTTCTTAATTCATTAGACATGTGTTTTATTAATTTAGTTAACTTTATTAAAGTTAGGGATTTGTTTCCTTTTTGGTTGTCTTAGGGTTTTGGGACTTCTTATAAATGTTCCTATGTACTACAATTATATTCAGTTGATTGAAAAATATACCTTTTTAGAGATATTCTCTTGTTCTTTTCTCCATGGATTCAGAATATGTGCATTCTATACACGTAGAATCGTAATGTTCTTCGTGTTCCTTTGTTCCGCTACGTCAATTGGTATCAGAGCCTTGACTAACCTGACATGATTTCTAATCCGCGAACTTTCCTCATAATAGTGATTATATGGAAATGGCTTCTCTAAGAGCCAACGTCTTTAGTTTTTGGCATTCGTCCCAGCAAGCCTATCATGAGTTCCATGATCCGGTTACTCTTTCAACTTTCGAAACAAACCAGGATCTAGATTAGTATAGGTTTTGCAACAGCGATAGGGCTTATGTTCAACAACATAATCTTATCCCCCGCAGACAACATCATATTTATGATCTTGATTCTATTGATGATGATGAGTATGCTACAGGTATGTTTGATAGCTATGACTGTGCTAGATATCATCAAAGACGTGATTATGATTCTAGAAATTTATTTATGAAATTTAACCTAACCAGTTTTGATGATTACATTAATAAAGAAGATTTTCTAGATTGGTTGGACAAAGTAGAACGATTCTTTTGATTATCATGAAATTCCTTCAGAGAGAAAAGCAGATTTAGTGGCATAAAAATTGAAAGGCATGGCTTATCAGCGGTGGGAACATGTGAAATTATCCCATGTAAGTCAACAGAAATCCAAAGTTCATCTTGGCAAAAGATGAAACACTTGTTAAAAGAAAGATTTGCACCTCCGTATTATGATGAGGACGAAGGATACAAGTATGGTGCATATCAATCTATGAGGCAAACTTTTTCAGGTTATAATGATTATTCTGTAACTCAAGTCTCATATCGAAATACGATTAGTGTGGAGTTCACAAATACTTTATTGGATCATAAAATTAAAGTGAAAAATAATGAACCTAATGAGGAGATCGTATATGCTTATGGCAATATTGGGGAGCCTCTTGAAAGTTGTCAACATTAGAAACTTGAAAAGAATTACACATGATATTATGAATTTGAAGAGAAGAAAAATAACAAGGTTTTGGGTGATTTCCATGAACCACATATTTCTTTGGTTTGCAGCGATATTCACACTTGTTATGCTCTTAAAGTTCTAGAAAGTAATGAGATTTTTTCTCTTATTGAAAAACAACTGGATGTGTGTGAGCATCACATGGATGGAAATGCTATAGAACCAAAAATCAAGAAGCTTGAGACCGTTGGTCCTGGTGATAAAAATGAGAATGATAGATTTTCCTTTGTCAACATAGTTCTCGATGACTAGCCCACAAATCACACAACCAAGCTCTAAGAATCTCTAGTTGCACCACTTAGGCTAGGTTTGAAGTAAAGAAATCGAAGAAAATAGCAAGAAATCATCATAGATGATGTTAGTCCTAATCCAAGAACATATTTTTCTCCAATTAAATTAATGTGGTGCTTCAATATGTTTTGGATCGAAATTATGCTCTGATATCATGAAAACTTTGGTCAAAGAAAGAAGAATGAAGGGAGAAAGAGAAAATATTACTATTGTTAAATAAATCTGTAATACAACTTAACCTAAAATACAATGTAAGCCCTTATATAGAAGGGCAACAAAGAATAAAGTAAATGCCCAAACTAAAAAGCTCATCATAATTATGCTTACCTCCCTTACATACATGTCCACTAGTAAAGGAAGATCAGATTTTGGTTTCCATCCTCCAAATAGAGATCCTCTTAATGTCTTCCCAGTCAGAAATAATGAATAGTGAGCTGTTATCTCTGGCTTCACTTTTGGTACACCAAGAGTGACAGTCAAACCCCATCCCTAAGAGAAATAAGACAGGACGAAGAAAAATTATACAAAGAACTGAAGAATAGTCAAAAAACCCATTAATAATTAGAAAGAAATCATTGATATCACTGCAATTACATCGCAACATGACTGTAATGCGGTTGTTATCATTGTGGTGTCTCCTATACATTCGAATGAGTAGTCTGCTCCCCCATCAGTAATACGCTTTATAACCTGGAAAGAATATAATTCCCTTTGTAACATTTAAACTATAATTCAATTAAGCATGCATATAAGAGAGAGTGTGTGTATGTGTCAAGTCTGATATTCAAATATATTTGCGGGTTTAGAAAGAAATAATTGCTATACAGCTTGTATTCAAACAACTCAGAAAGTGAACTTGATCCTTTAGAACTCTTCGGTAGATCCTACTTAATTTGATTACTTATCTTTCCTTTATCCTCTTTCTCCCTGTATGAGCTTATCTTCACATCATTCTTCTACACATTAGTTAACAGAAATGGCATTGCAAAATACAAGCTGAATGAAGTTTCTGATTGTTGGCTGCTCAGTAGAAAGAAATAAAGCACCTGTTGAATGGGTTCATCGCACTCGTTTGGATTTAGAAAATCTGTTATTCCGAAAGCCTTGGCTGCACCAACAACACAAGATAATGACCCTAGAGTCATCCTCATGGAGCAACCTATACAACTTAACCACAGTAAAAAGCAAATGATGTGATACCTTTTTCACTCTTTTCAGGATTAGTGTCCACGCCAATTATTCGAGATGCTTTCCTAAGTTTGGCACCTTGTGCAACCTTATCATAAAAGTAAATTGTGAATTACCAAAGTCCTGTTAAGGTCAGAAACACCTACAAGTCTTGGGAAGTTAAGGGAGGTGCACATGCAGTGGCGAGCCTCTCGCCACTGCGTAGATAAGTTAAGGGAGGTAATTGACATTATTAAATCCACACACTTACAGAAAGGCCAACAGTTCCAAGACCAAAAATGACGACCGTTGATCCTGCAGAAATATCAGCGACCTTCCATGCTGCACCGAGACCTAGTAACAAATTCTCTGTTGTGAGTGTACAATCGCAAACTAAAATTCTGAGGCACACTGAACAGAATGAGTTGGTGGACTAAAGTATACACCAAGAGAGGACATGGAAGAGAATAATAACATCAGAAATGATAGAAAAGAGTTAGATGCATATCAGTACAAAATCTATTTCTGAATCTCAAAGTTCCATACAACTTGGATCAATAAATGCAGCAATTTTAACCAAAGGCACCCAAAGGAGGTGCAACTTAAAAATAACGTATTGAAGAAAAATCCAGGGAAGAAGAAGCGAAAAAGGTGCTAGACTGCTGCCTGCCCACCAAACACTCTAATAAGCCAAAACAAAGGTTTCAGCAGAATGCTTCAAAGGCTGGAGCTACACCTGTTAACGCCTTTCATGTTTCTTTCATTCAAATACGCCAAAAGAATCTGAAGTACAACTCCACAATGTCCCTGTAGGGGGGCTTGATTCTCCCTGAATTTAAAACTTTACCCAGATATACACACGACAGAGATAGATCGAAGCAGTGCCAAATATACCCCAGAAAGAAGCAAACAAAGTGAAAGCATGAATGTTACCAGGCAGCCTACGAACAATACAAAGAGATGGTCCACTAACTCATCATTCCCCCTTAAACGTGCAACAACTAATGCATACCATAGACAAAACTTCAAATAATTTTTTCTCACCCTGTTGAGAGGGAAAGTCAATTTGACTCGAATCTTATTTATTGATCAAAGATTAGAAACTCATCAGCTGTCACAGTCCAAGAAATAAAGCCTCTTCTGTAGGATAAACCTCCATCTATGGCATCAAGTCTCCTGCATATTTCCCCCTCCAAACTCAAACCTACCAACAAGAGAAAAACATCCTAATGAACTCTAACTTCAACTCCCTATCTTGCAATGACCTATTTAATATGGCATCTAACAGGGACCCCAGTTTCTAGACTATTCAAATAATTTGAAATCAGAAGCATCTTTTTCAAACTAATAATGACTTGAAGAAAAATGAAGTTCAGTTGCATGTCCCGTACAATAAATCAAGCCCAAAAAAAAAAAAGCACCCTTCGCCTTTCACCAGGCACAAAGGAGAATATGGAAAAAAAAGAAAACCCCGTCCTGTTATTTTAGTTTAAAATGACCACATCCTTTCTATTTCCCTATCGGAACCAGACCATTTTAAGTCTCTAAACCACTTTAGTGCACCCAAATTTCATTCTAACACTCCCCAAATTTTCATTCTGAAAATTGTCCCCCCCCAACTTTCCTTCCTCAAAGGTAAACAAAGAACCACTTCAGCAAAAATGTTCATTGAAGAGCTGAAGCTATACCAAGCTTAGACCCAAAAACTTAGAACCAACACCCTCGTCATTTGATCCACATTGTGCTACTCAAGCTTCTACTTAAAAAATTCTCCTGATCTTTCACTTCAAAGACTCCTTATCCTCTCACCACCTTTGCGGAAACTCTGGATGCAAGCAAAAAACATTGAGAGTCTCCCACTCAGTAAACACGCACAAATTCTTCTATTTGACAAATCACCACAACTCATTCAGTAATTATATTCCAAATGGTGTTAAACTTGAAAGATTAGTGACACAGGGAGGGAAGGGGAATAAAAGTGATTATTGAATCCTCAAAAGGATTTGGTCAAGAAACACAAATCTCCGCAAGAAAATTAATAAATTCATATTCATAAATCTAATTCAAATAATTGGGATTACACTATCATTTATAGGACAAGTGTCATACCCAAATAAAAAGTACTCTCTAGCTAAAACTCTATCTAAATCTCCTAATGAGATGAATATTAGCTAACCAGATACTCTAATAAATAACAAAAATAAATCAAATTCTAATCTTTAATTTTATGTCCATCCAATCCCTTTACGATCTCGATCAATAAGCCTAAAGATAGGTCCAAATAAAGCTCATAATAAACCTAACCCACTCCCTAATAACATGCCAAAAGATGCACTTTTCAGCCTCAGCACACGGATCAGCTTGTGAGTTTCTCTAAGAATTTCAAAATGAAAAACATCCCACATCCATTATCTAATGGGGATCCCCATTATGGAAGGTGCTGGGAGGTGTCATTGTCTTGGCCTTAGACATAGCCTCAGTTGGCACCAGAATGCCAAGTATCGGTGTCCTATTTTAGTTTTTGGACAAGACAACAATAAGGCTTAGAAGAATTTATCACATTATAAGAAAATAAGAGATAACAATACCACTATGGAAAAGGATAAAAGATAGAGTTGAAATTATAGAATCGGTACTAGGGTTTGTAAGAAAAGGAGAACATAAGAGAAAAAAAGAGAAAAAAAGGATAAAAAGAGAATAGTAAACTAATATTAGGGAAATTACAATATTACTCTACACTACTAATCTATATAATAAATTAGCTAGGTTTTTGAACTTATGGGAGGTATATTTTTCCCCAAATTTCACAAACCCAACACACACTCCACAACACAGCTGCACACGTACACATACTCCAACACAGACATACACACATACACACACTCCTGTTGTACACATACTCCAATACATGCACAGTATCATAACTTAGTGTACAGTGACTTTAGTCACTAGATATCACTAGTAATATAAATAAGAACTCTTATACTCCCCCTTAAGCTGGAGCATAAAGATAAAAAATGTCTAACTTAGAACAAAGATTATTGAAGATATATCGACCCAATGGTTTGTAAAGATATCAACTAACTGATCACTAGACTTGATATGTGTTGTCATTGGCTTGATAATCTCCTTACTTATCAAGAGATCTCGAATAAAATGACAATCTACTTCAATGTGTTAGTCCTCTCATGGAATACTAGATTTTTGGTAATAAAAATAATTATTTGGTTGTCACAATGCATCTCCATAGGAGAGGGCCCAGTGATACCCATATCACAAAGTAATGAATGAACCCATAATATCTCACATGCATAATGAGTCATGGCCCGGTATTTAGCCTCTACACTCGAACGTGCAACCACATTTTATTTCTTGCTACGCCAAGTAACAAGATTACCACTTATAAATATACAATAACCTGAAATAGATCGTCTATCAGTACGACTTCTTGTCCAGTCAGCATCAAAAAAACTAGTAGCAATCATGAAGGATGAAGGACGAAATATTAATAATAATTTTCCCAATGCTCCTCTCAAATACTGAAAAACATGACAAATAGCCACTCAATGAGGCTTACGAGGAGTATGCATGATCTGACTAACCACTCCAACAACATAGGAAATATCTGAACGTGTAATTGTAAGGTAAATCAGTTTACCAACCAACCTTTAATAACGCCCTACATTGTCAAAAACTTTACCACTATCACAATCCAACTTAACCGTGGAGTCCACGAGAGTATCAACTAGACGTACACCAAGAATACCAATTTCGGATAATAAATTCAATATATACTTCCGTTGGTACAAACTGATACCTTCCTTTGACCGAACAAGTTTAGTCTCAAGAAGACCTAAATCTGTGGTATGAAATTGTTTTCCCCTTCTTCTATATTCTTCGCTTAGAGTTTTGAAAGTGTAAATATGCATGTTTCTGTGTAGTGGTATTAACTTTATATGCATTTTAGGTGTCTTGTATGTAACCTCTTTACATGCAGGCATTGTGTAAGATGATACAAACACCTAAACACAGAGAGATTAGCAAATTTGACCTGACACTAGCCACCATAATACAAATAAATTTTACCTGCTGCCACTCCACAACTAAGGAGGCATATTTTCTCTAGAGGTGCGGTTGAGGTGACTTTGACAGCACATCCAGAGTGCACAACTGTATACTCGCTGAAACTTGAAACTGCACAGTAATGAAAAATATGCTTCCCCTTTATTGAGAACCGTGTTTTCTGATCACTATGCATTACACCCCTGCGTTCCAACCCCAGAACTTGGCAAATGTTGCTTTTACCCGAGGTACACTGTCTGCAACTCATACATTCTCCTGTAAATAATGTAAGCACATGGTCCCCCTCTTTAAATTCTGTCACTCCTTCGCCCACGCTCTCAACAATCCTGCAAAATTTGCTACCAGAAAATCAACAATTTTGTGTTTTGGATATAACATTACACGAGCTAGAGAGCTCTCATATAATGTTTTAACTTCAAACCAAGTGACCATCCTCCTGTGATAATTTCTGACAAGGAATTCGAAATCACTAAATCTGACCTAAACTGAACCAAAATAATATCTATCCGATAAGTCATGGTCAAAAAAGGAAAACAAAAAAGGAAAAATCTATAAATAATTCCATATAACAAAGGATCTCCCTGCACAGCAAGTTTCCATCACCATAACACGCAAGAGTTGTCAACTCTCACCAAAACCCTAGATCCTATAGATGGGCCAATAACTGTGCTCTAATCCCCTCTCAAAGATTTCAACAAAAATATATGTAGTTAAGATTTAATAGTTCCCAACTCAAAAGTGGAAGTTATTTGTCTGGAAAATTGTTTTCTATCACTGATCCATATAAACTATACATAGCAAAAGGAGTTCCAATTCAGACATCAAAAGCAATTTAGACAATCCAGAGTTAACTCCAATATGACAAAAGGCAAATGTCCAAATATCACACCAGCCACCAAATTATATTTAATCAAGTTTTCCACCATCAATGCCATCCGCTTACACACAATGTACCTAGTAGCATTATTATCTCATTCCTTTCAGTGTTTTGGAATTGCATGTCCTTTAGGTGGAATTTGTACAAGAATAAGCTATATTCATAAACAAAACTCTATCATCAGGGACAAAGGATATGAAGGTAAGACATCTGGAGTGGAAGATTACTGATGAACCGACAATCAGTAGTTGAAGGAAGAATAAGATATACCAGGCTTGAAATCTTCAGAGGAAACAACACTGTCAGCTTACCAGGTGACTGACTATTGATGCCTCTGTTTATCATATTTGAGATGAGAATGACCAGAGAACTAGAGCCCATAAAACAGCTGTACACTTGATAGCAAAATCGACTTTATTGTGGCAATCGCCAATTATCCTCCAAATCCATACAGTTAAATACATCCAAAAGACAAAAATAGCTATTCAAATAAGGTTAACTCATTTTTAGAATAACATTCAAGGAACTTAACATGAAAACCGTGTTCCAACTCAATACTTCCAGCATACAAAACACAGACCTCTAAGCCACACTTCACTACACCTAAAATGATGAGATGAGAAGTTTACTTGTCATCAGTAATTACAAGGGAGGTCCCTGCTCCAAACATTTGTCCAAATTTTCAAGTAGACACTCTTCCCCACATCAAAATTCGATCTCTTCAAAAAGAATGCATATCAAACTTGCCCAAACAGGTAAGTAAATTGGGCAATCCTAAGTCCCCCAGAGTCCTAATCACATCCATGGTCAATAAGCAATAAAGATCTAACCAAAACCAACATCATCTTTCCACCCAAACTTTAAAGAGATGGAATGTAAACTCATCCCTCTAATTTTCCAGAGAGAAGTCTCTCCAAAGCTTTCTACACACAAAAACCCACAATTTTAAGAAGGGAAATATAAGTCAGCGGATTTGGAAGGGGACACAAAAGCAAAGTCACCTTGATTTTTGAGATGACAATATCTTGTCTAATTGCACCATCTTCTTTCCAATTACTCACTGATACAGAACCCAAAGTTGTCCAAGGATAAGAATACGGAAAACTTCTAAGTCTAAGCCTGAGATTATTTCTTAAAACTCCTTGAAGCTTTAGCTATTATTGGTCCACCAGTTGTATGCTTTCAGTAATACAGCTTAATACATTATTTAATTGTTCATAGGCCTGTATGTATTTTATATGAAATTACAAAGTAAGAGCTATAGACGTGACCCGGATGCTTCATGGCCAAAAATCCGAGGAAATATTTGAGTTTGCGCCTGCAAAAACAAGCAGAGGCTATTAGACATTAAACCTTCATTTTTCGGAAAGGCCACAAAAGAAAGTTTGAATACACCCTTCTAAAAAAAGTATAGCACAAGAGATGGAAGGTTACCAATGCAGAAAAGGGAAAATATGATAGAGAAGACAAAATCAAAAACAAAAAAAATGAGAAAATGAAGAGAAGAACGGAATCTTTTACTTCTATGCATCACAAGTAGAGAACATGACATGCTACCCTCACAATTTTCTTGCAGGACTTGTTGGATAAAACAGAATTCCATTTCTTGGTGTGGATGCTATATAATTAACCATTGCCACAATTTTATACGTGCAAGGTTCTTCATATTCTGTCAGAGGATTTTATGTCAATTGCTTATGGAGCATTTTTGAATACGAATAGGTTCATGTGAAAAGAAACTTTACTAATATGAGAAGCAGTTAAAAGCTAATAAACAACAGTATTACTAATAGGAGAAGCACAAAAAATTTAATAAACAAAACTAATGATGTTTGCCTTTTTTTTTCCCCAAAAAATCTCAGTGTTTTTAATATAGATCACTAATAGAGTTTTTTAATAGTGGTAGAACAATCGGTCATAAAATCTCAAAGCTTATTGGCCTAGATGCAACAAATGGAAAACGGACAAAGATTCATATGTCTGAAGATGGATCAAATTCGTGGCTTGGATTCTCTCAGAACGAGAGAAAGAATAGTAGCTCAGTATAATCAGCATCGATCATCTGGGGATGTTTGCTCATCCTTCCTCTAAAAGCCTGATTTAAAACCTGCACCATTTGAAAGGAGCAGAATGAATGCAAGGAGACACCAAAGAAAGAGGAGGCAGCTTGCTAAACTGGTCAACTCTTGGACAGCAAGGGCATAATGTCAGGCGTCATCCAGCTGTGACTGGCCTTTGTTGTATTGACATCTTCATTTTTCTTAAAAGGAAGACTGATAAAGAAATTAGGGTTTTTCCAGAGAGGATGAGAAATATTTGGTTAGGAATTCAGATTGGCTCGCCACAAAGGAAGTTTCAATGATTTGAGCCTTAAAGGAGGTAGAAGCATCATCTAGGTATAAATTTGGAATTAGAGTCCAAGGAAAGGGAATGACTGTGGTATTAAAGGCCTTTAGATGTCCACCAAAAATGAGGGAGTTTATGCAAGAGGTCTAAGAAAATGATAAGGTCTTTTGCTGGAAGAGAAGAATTGAGGACTCTATGTTTCAGGCTGAGATTGGGAGAAATATGGATCAGAATTGGTTTACTGATTCGGTCAATGACAACCTTTTTCACATTTGCAGATGGGAAAATTTGATAGAAGAGTTCCTAGTGTGGACCAGGAAGAAGGGACGGATTGATGATACAAACAGCATCCCCAATATCAAATAAGGCAATAACAGCAAGAGTTTGAGAATATTTGTCAAAAAGGATTTGAACTCGAGCTAAAGGGTGGGGTTGATTCATCAGTACAAGTTCATCAGAGGGTTGAAGCATAAACAGATCTTCATCAGAAGAGGTTTCATTGCTTGATAGACAAGGGCTAAGACAGAGTCAAGAGAATAGTCATCACCAAGAGAAAAGATGGATTCAATATCAGATTCTCCACAGGTAGAGTTTCTAGAGGACAGTTGGTGAAGAATCTTATCTTTTCTTTTTTTTTAATCTTTTGGGGCAATTTTTGTCAAAATGTCCGTTTTCTTTGCTAAGATAACAATGGTTAGTGGTTTTGCCCCCAGAATCTCTTTTTGCAAAGAAATCTCCACTTTTTTCGAAAAGGAATGTGAGACCCCTTTTTGAAGCTGAGTTTTGAAGTGAGATTCTTTTTGGGTTTAAGGTCACATATGGAATCAGAAGGACATTTAAGCTTCAGGTCTTTTCTGGTACAGAAGGATCCAACTTTCTTTCAATCTGTTCAATTTCAATGAGGAACTTCCGCTGATTGCATAATTTTTCAAGAGCAATAGCAGAATGCTAGAAAAGTTCACCAAGTTGGGCAGCCTGCAAAGTGATTCCTTCAATGTCAAGAATCTTGGAAGTTTCATTATGAATAGGATCAGAAAGAGAGTTGAGAAAGCCTTGTCTCAAGTTGAAATCATCCATGTCATTGAGAACATACTATCGCTTGGACATGCGATCATAATGTTTCCCTAAATCTTTTCTCTGAAAAGAATAACATTTTATTTTTAAATCTTCTTCCCGAGCTTGGATAGAATAGTGACCAAGAGACCAGAAATTCACTATGCAGGAAGTTCATGACGTCTTCAACTAAGGGTAATTGGCAAAATTGCAGTTGACGATATTCTCATTGAGAAATTCACTAATCCTAAAAAAGTCCTTGAAGTCGGGCCACAAAGGATTCAATAATCAGAGATAATGTCATAGTTGGATGTTCGAGTTTTGTTGTGCACCAAGAAAACATTTCAAAGAACCTTTCTCGCCATTGGGAAGGAGGAATATCATCAATGGTAAAATGTTGCTCAATATCAGATGGAATAGAAAGATGGGAGAGATCAACCTCAATGGACGCTGAGGTGTCATCGATCATGGTTCATCATGAGAATAGTAGCAATAGAGGTAAATTTTGCAGGTCGAACAAGAGCTTATCATTAGACTAGGTTGAGAATTTGCATTAGACGGTGTCAATGACGCCAAGAGAGGAGGGTAGTGTGAATAGATTGATCTATTGCTTGCCTAGCCTCATGAATTATGGGATGACATTCGATTTTCTTTATATCCTAGTTTACTTATTCTCTATGAGCTATTAGACTAGGTTGAGAATTTCTTTATATGGCCTCCGGACGTGCATCAAACCTTCATGCTTGATTATTTATTTTGCACTCCTTTTTCCCTTAATCTCAATTTATATTTAGTTAAAAAAAAAGCACATAGAGATAACGCACACACATAGACATGCACACATACACAAACAAACTGTTGATCATAAGAACCACCACGGAAGAGCACCATGTCATCCTTCCATCACTGGCACGCTTTCTTTCTAAACTATTCTCTCTCAACCCACAACACCGCCACTCACCTACAAGCATCATTCTATCACCCTCCACACACCAACTACCACAAGATTGGTGTCTCCTATCAAAGCAACAATGGATCTTTGAGAATTTCTCTCTAAGTTCTATGTGGAGAGAGAAAGGAAGAGATTTGGGATTTCTATTGAAGTACAAAATTTGGTTTTTTAACATTACGTTTGAGTAGTGGTAAGGGAGAGGCGTTAAAATGGTGGACTGGTGGTTTTTTTTCTTTTACAGTTGAGTTGTTATTGATGTTGCCGATGGGTTTTAGAGGTGGAATCAAGCGTGGGAGATTGTGGCGATATCACCTTCTAGGTTGATTCAAACCACAAAGTATCCAGCACCACAGTAACAAAATCCCACCATTCTTTGTCTCCACCTTTTGCATCATATCCTCCTCTCTCTAACCTTTGTCTCTTAAATAAAAAACCCAATGCATGAGAAGCGAGCAACTTTATGGCTGATGGATGATATCATCGGTGTTGGTAGAAACGTCGAAGCATAAAGGGTAGTTACCTTATTTCTTCAATACTCTAATTGTCGGCCCCAATATCTTCAATCACTGATATGCCGACAATCTCTCTCTCCATATTCAAGTGGTGAAATGGGTTTTGATTTTCAACAAAACGACTTAATTTATAATTGAAATTTAATCAAGTTATTAATTGGTGGTGAGGCTGGTTATAGAGTTTGTGTCTGGTGCTCATAGCTAGTGGGTAGGTGGTCCCAGGTTTGCATTGAAATAAGTGACAATTTTTTGGTGTGGTGGTGGGAATCGATGGGTTATTGGTTTTTGAGGGGTGGTGCTAGGTGAGTTGAGATGACAGTTGGTATATGCTTGTGTGGATAGCAAAAGGTGGAGGTAGTGATGGTTTTTGGGGATGGTGGTTTGTTTGTTGTGATGGATGTTGTAATGGACATTCTGGCCCGTGGTTCAATGTATCAGCAGATACCGATACGAGTCGGCCGAGTCACATTTGTTTCGGCATCTTCAGAGATGATACCGTTACACGATACGTATAAACCCGAATCTTGTACAGTTCATCCAAGTCGTTCAAGTCATATCTAAGTAAATCCTGAGTCACCGAAATATCATCACCGAATTGATCGATACGGTACTACGACGCTGCGATATGACTTGAATGTCTGTCATGTTCAACATTTCTTTTAAGTCGTATCACCCGATACCGCACCGCGACACCGCGATCGATGTGTCTCAGAGCTCTCCGAGTTGATGGCCGATACCACAACCTTGAACCATGTTCTGACCCTTTTGTATCAAGCGCCTCTCTTTTGAGCAACTAAATCTTTCTTCTCTAATTGGCGACTATGAATGAAAGAGTAGTGTTTTTGTGTCACTGTAAGGGACGAGGAAGAAGAAAAAGAAAGAGAGATTTTGTAAAAAAAAATTATTAAATTGCAAAATTGACATTACCAGATTTATATTCTATGACTTCAGCATCTTTTTGATCTGCCAAGTAACAATTTGATGGCAAGGGTACTTTTTGAACCAGACATATGAACTAGAAAGGAATTTAGTGATACTTCAGAAAATAAATGCGATTTCCTATAATTATATTAATCAAAAGGGGTGTTATTGATATTTCTCCATTATCCTTCGTTTGCCAAAACATCCGCTCAAATATTCTTGCTTTTAAAGGTTGATAAATTATCACTAAACATTTTGTTTTCTTAATCAGAAAGCACTGATAGGGTTTAGATATAAGATTTAGATAAGATGAAGAAAAACGAAAGGGGAATCCATGGCCTATAAGTGAGCTGACACAATGCATGTGTATATACATTAGGTCACTAATGCAATCAACTTATGAAGAACAGAAAAATCCAATAAGAAGGAGAATCAGAGAGCTAGATCAAGCTGAAAGATTAGAGTAAACACCCACACTCAATCCCAAAGAGAAGGACAGAAGACTAGTCGTTGTAGAAAGTAGAAAATATATTAATATTCTTCTAAATGTTGTTGAATACAATGTGGAACAACCCTTTTATAAGTCTCCAAGGTTTCCCTAATAAAAGAGTCGATATCAGCCCATTTAATTAAAGCTAATCTAAGGGCTCCATTCTGTCCAACAGAAATAAAGACACTAAAATGATCAAGCAGCCCAAAACAATCACAAGACTGACTTTTAAAACTCACATGAAATTTAAAATAAACCCTAATGCCCAAAATACCCTTAAATATGAATGATAATCAAAAGAAACACTATATAGAAAATGAAAAAATACTAAAAATAAAATTTAAACTAAAATAAATGACTCAAGAAAAATATAAACAGCTTGCGAAATGATCACTAGAGGCTTGGACTTTTTTGGATGTTCAAAGGCTTGTAAAAAACTTCTCCTACATGCTCTGCATCAGTCCCTCTAGGTAAGGGAAAACTCGACCTCGAGTTAGCATCAGTCTCCATGATATGGCACCAAGTGAAGAACATTAAACACATCAGAGGTCTTGATGTGGCTGGGAAGCTTCAAACTGTATGCATTATCATTGATCTTTTCAAGGATTTCACATAGTCCAATCTTCCTTGCACTCAGCTTGTTATACTTGCCAACTTGGATACTAATCTTTGGTTAATACACATAATCTCCAACATCAAAGATCACTAGTCTCCAACACTTATCAACATGTTCCTTGTACTTTTGATTACTCTCTAGAATCTGCGGTTGCGCCTTGTGCATTTGCTTAATATTTTCAACCAAATCTTCAGCTTTAGAACTCACCTGACTTGTTAAAGGAAGTGGAATCAAATCCAAGACATCGTGTGGATAGCATCCATACACAATCTCAAATGGACTCATCTTTGTCGTGCAATTCTTGTAATTGTTAAAAGCAAATTCTGCATGAGAGAGAACCTAATCCCATTACTTAAGTTTATTTCCAACATGGCTGCGAATGAGATATCCTAATTCAGATCCCAATTTCTTTCATAAAGTCCTCCAAAAGTGACTAATAAACTTCCTATCTCGATCAAAAGTAATGGACTTTGGCACACCATGCAAACGGACAATCTTCTTGAAGTATAAATTAGCAATCTTAGAAGCATCCATACTCTTCCTACATGGATTGAAATGTGTCATTTTAGAAAATCTATTGACAACCACTATAACAAAATCCATACCTCTTTGTGTTCGAAGAATTTTGAGCACAAAAACCATGCTAAAATTAGTCCATGAAGCACTTGGAATTGGCAAAGGAATATATAAACTAGCATTGGTAGCTCCTCCCTTTGAAATTTGACAAGTATGACAACATCCATTGTAACCACGTCACACCACACCATAAACCAACTAAATATCATTTAGTAACTTTTACCTCGTTGTCTTTCTTAAACCAAGAAAGTTTGTAAGGATGTGGGTGCACCTCCACCGACAAATTTAGCTTTGATACTCCCTCTTGCAAAATGATGTTTCCACAACTTCCACTATCTATGATCAATTTGCAAACACATTCCCCAATAGTACAAGAGGTTTGAAATACATTACGCCGCAAGCAATCTTCAGGATCTTCAAGGCGTGGTGCTATAAAAACTTAGTGCATCACAAGACACTGTCCCACATCTCCCCTAACAATAGCATCATCATCTTCTTCATCATAGGCGGGTTCTTCCTCTTTATCTGGTTCTTCTTCTCCATATTCTTCTACAAGAAGTTGTTTCCCCTCACACCTATTACCTTTTGACACTCGGCTGATTTGTATCCTAGTGCTCATGGTTCAAGGTTGCGGTATCGGGCAATACGACCTAAAAAAAAATATTGAACATAACGAGAGATTCAGGTTATACCGCGACATCCCAAAATCGTATCGGTTGATTCAGTGACAATAACTTGACAACTCGGAATCAACTCGAATACAACTCCACCGATTCGGCTGAGTTGTGCGAGACTCAGGGTTTGTACGTATCTTGTAACGTTGTCGTATAGGAAGGAGCCAAGTCGAATACGATTCGACTGACTCGTATCGGTATCGGCCTATACTTTGAACAATATTGGTGCTCCACACTTGAAACATTTATTAATTGTCCAACTAGATTGTTGTTTAACATTAGAAGCATGGTTCAAGGTTGCGGTATCGACAATCAACTCGGAGAGCTTTGAGACACATTGATCGTGACGTCGCGGTACAGTATCGGGTGATACGACTTAAAAGAAAATGTTGAACATGACGAAACATTCAAGTCATATCGCGGCGTATTGGAACCGTATCGGTCAATTCGGTGAAGATATTTTGGCGACTCGGGATTTATTCAGACAACTCGGACGAGTTGAGCGAAACTCGGACGAGTTGTGCGAAACTCGGGTTTATACGTATTGTGTAATAGTATCGTCTCCGAAGGTGCTGAGACGAATATGACTCGGCCGACTCATATCGGTATCGGCCGATACATTGAACCATGATTAGAAGTTCTTGCATTTGGTCGCCACTAAGGAGCTATAGTACTGCACCTTTGAGGTGCCCCTTGTGTTGCCCTTTAGTGACCAGCAATCTCCTTAG